ATGCAGCGTCAATCATCTTCTTCTGTCTCCTTGAATCCTGTTCTTTTTTCGTCGTCTTTCCTCTTCGATAACGTTATCTCAGTTTCTTTCACTATCAGTTAACCCCCCCCCTTGCGTCTTAGGGGCTTTATCGCCTTGATTGGGGTGAAATGATTTACTCCGCGAAAAAATGTATACACACTTCAGGAAAGGAAAAACTTGTATGGATATTGTATTACTAAATCTATTGAGATATCACAGGATTAACACCTTTGAAGTCGACCGACAATCAAAAGAGATGGTCATAATTGTGGCCTTCCAGACATTTATTAGTACGGCGAGTTACTGCCTGGCCCAGATTAAACATAGTGTCCAGTGGGATTGCTTTTTTCCATTTTCTTGTCTAAGAGCCACCAATATAGTCAGTTTTCTGTGATACATAATATCCTTTAGTGTCCCCCACAGTAAACAGGGTTATCACAGTTTGATAAAATTACGAAAGTCAAATGTTTCTTTTCCTGAAATTTGTACACATTTTTGGGTGGACTCTGACACTCTCTCTCTCTCTCTTTCTCTTTCTCTCTCTCTCTCTCTCTCTCTCTCTATATATATATATATATATATATATATATATATATATATATATATATATATATATATTACAATGAATCATTCATACAAAAAGTAGATTAGTAAAGTTAATGATATAAAATGGCGAAATCTCTTCGCAAACAAAATTTTAAAGGTGCATTAACCTACAAATCACTCGATGAATGTTATGATGCTTGTTTTTATAAAATTATAAGCTGTATAAAGTCTTTCTTTAATACACAAGTACTTTCAACTGTACATACAGTCATCTTCAGGCATGGAAATTATTTTGCTTTTGGTAAAATTCAGGCAGCATCCGAGACGAAAAAATTAAATGCGAATCGAAATATGTTTTTTTTTTATAAGCTGTATAAGTTCTTTCTTTAAAACGATCTATATGATGAACACCTTCGCAAAAGAGGTGTTTAGCGTTCTTGTCTCACTAGTATCTGATATGTCAGTTCTTTATTTTGTCTTCTGTGGTCATAGCCTTATCTTCGTTCAATAAATATGGCCGTCGTCAATGAGTATTTTGATTTGCTTTTTTTACGGCTTAACAACAATTTGCAAGTTATTTAAAGTTAGAAAATATTTACTAGATTATAAGAATTTTTTTAGGTAATAATGATTTAGTGATACTTATCACATTGCAATTCGAATATAATCTTCTTTTATGTACCCTGTCCTTTCAGGACGTGAAAGATCATGACTCTCCACAGCTTCGTGCCTTTAGTGGACCTAAGTATTTTTTCCTCTTTATTATCTCCTTTTGTTCTTGCTTGCAATTAATTTCCTGCCAGTCACAGCATGGATGCGTGTCAACTGAATTCCTGTTTTGAACCTTTGTATAAAATATATAATAACTTACAAAGTTATTTAAAGTCGAAACATATTTTTAATTGTAAGATTTTGGGGGAAGATCTTAATGGTTTTATAATACAAGTCTTACTAATTCACACATATCTGTGGGGAGAAGAGGTGGATTCATAGTTTTTCCAAATGTATTTGCGCGTAAGTGAATATAACGAACCCAACTGGAATTGGAATTCGGCTTTCTGATTAACAATTTCGAGTCACCACCAACACATCCAACCTCACGGCACCTGGTATTCCCTAGAGGTCAACCATCACTGACCAGGGTCAGTGAATAAGTCGACAAAGTATAAAACGATCTTCTGGTCAGAATATTGGCGAGTAAAAATGATGGGACAGTGAATTGTGTTTACAAATGCTGGATTTATTTCGTACAAATTTCATAAAATGTCGGTGTCAGGTTTCAATACCTTCTCTTTGCCCTTTATCAGAATTTCTTTTGACCATGCACGAATACTATAGCTGAAAAATAAATTAATCGTCGTACATGGATTTTATAGTTCATGCCAGACATTCCAAGAAAGAAACGTCTCTATAAATATCTCCCAACTGGAAAGGGAATTCCACTCACCAGGAGAAATTCTTAGAATTTCAGGGGTTACCTTTGAACTCGACAATCACAAGAGATGGTCAAAATTGTGGTCTTTACCTTCCAGACATTTATTAGTACAGCGAGGTACTGGTTGGGAAAATAAAACAAGTACGGGGAGCCTTATAATACCATAGATTGGAAAATTTAGACTATTGGAATATTGATCTTTCTGCAAGTCTTCAATAAATCTTTTAAGTTATTACAAGAAGGCATTCTGAAAAACGGTACAAAGGAGTAGAGCAAAAAATGATTGAAGATCTCTGGTCTATATGATATATGCCTCCCTCATGTAGAAAACATTTAGTCACTGTTATTTATTGAGTCTTGCTGAGCGTTTGCACAATTATATGAGTAAGACGTTTCAGCAGTGGCGATAGTTACTAACCAAGTTTTGAATACGCTATACAGGCTTTTGATTATGGTTGACGAAGTTGTATAACCAGTGGCGGTTGTTATGTGGAAATAATAGTGTTGTACAGATGAACACTAGCTGTATCAAATGGTATTATGAGGCTCCGCGTACTTGTTTTATTTTCCGTATAAAGAAATGCTTCAGGGGCGTCCCTCGTATATTGAAAAACACTGTCTGTTAGATCATTTATGGAGATTCATTTGAAAGTTATAAATTGAGGATCATTCAATCTATGGAATAGTGTTTAGGGATCAAATATCGACGACGATGCCCAATTTCCCATTTTCTCGTCGTATATGAATTATTTATATACTATTAGACAATATTCATCCCAAATATTACGTTCAAATCGTGTTGAAAGCATACATTCTTGTCTGATTATCAAAGTTAAGCAACCTCGAACTTGATTAGACTTAGATAGGTGACTGCCTGTCCAGTCAATAAAAGCCGAATATTTCCCCATATTACAATTATCATTATGACCATAAGGTAGAATCAGTAACTTGTAGCTTTGTTCCAAGTTTAGTAAATAAATTAAGTGATAGTTTAGGAGCAGCACACACTGTTCCTTGTGTCAGACTTGGTTTAAATCAGGAACAAAGTTTTGATAATTCAACAAGGTTTATTTAAGTCCTTCATTTTTTTCTTAAAATATTTTTATATTATTTTTTTTATCAAATGCCTACTATATTCACTAGGCAATTAATCACATTCAAACATTCGTAACTTGTGTGTCAGAGTAGATCCAAAAATGATTTTTTCTATAATGACTGACGCAAATATCTGTAAAGATATTATCATTTATTGGGAGGGGGGGCATGGGTTTTGTTAGAAAACCAGATGTTAAATATAAACCATACGCAAATCACTTTAATGGGAATTATAAAAAAATTAATGAGTATTGCAACAATAATTATATAATTTAATCGGAAATGGTTTTAATTGAAAGAAAATCATTTTATTAGGTGATAAAGTTATAGTTAATGGAAATAAAATCATTTTAATGGTAAAATGTATTTCAATTCTTAGTTTCACTTCAAAGTTAAGGAGATTCGAATATGATTAATTCATAGATGGGTAAGTGCTTCGGAACACCGAGGCCACACTAAGCAATGTTTCGTAAAAGTGTTGGATTTTCTGTTTGATTATCTGAAAGAACAAACATCCAACGAAATTATGCTGAATATTTTTGTTGCAAATGGCTGAAAATAGAGTAAATGGTTTGGCAAATTTTGTGAAGATTCTCCATAAATCATCACCTAGGAAGACTAAATTATTCGTCCTAATATGCATACGAATGTCTCTTCGTATAATTATGCATTTATTCTCTCTCTATGTGTGTGTGTATAGGTGTGTGTCTGCAACGGATGCACCTATGTTTTGGATTGTATCCCACGAGTATTAAGCAGATGACAATGGACTCAAATGTCGGGAGGTAATCCGCCACCAAACTTTCTTACACCAGCCCGAGGCCACGATACAAGCTGCGCAGCTAAATCACTGAACTTCTCATAGAGAGCTTTATTGTTGAGGCATTAACTTTTCTAAGATGGCTACAATAATAAAGGGATGAAGATAATCCCCATTAAAGGCTAAAAGAGCCGATTCGTAATACAATCCAACATGGCTGGGCTGTCGTAAATGTTGATTTCACACGAAGCCTATCTTTTCAGGTGGCCTTAAAGACATCTGACCAACAGGTATTATCCCAATCGCAATTCGAATATAATCTTCTTTTATGTACCCCTGTCCTTTCAGGACGTGAAAGATCATGACTCTCCACAGCTTCTTATCGTTTGTGACTCTAAGCAATGTTTCATTTTATCATCCTTCTTTGTTCTTGTTTGCAATTAATTTCCTGACAGCACGGCTGGGTGGCAGGTGAATACGTTCTTTGAACCTTTGTATAAAATATATAATAACTTACAAAGTTATTTAAAGTCGAAACATATTTTTTTAATTGTAAGATTTTGGGGGGAGATAATAATGATTTTATAATACAAGTCTTACTAATTAACACATATCTGGGGGAGAAGAGGTGGATTCATAGCTTTCCAAATGTTATTTAACAATTTCGAGTCACCACCAACACATCCAACCTCACGGCACCTGGTATTCCCAAGAGGTCAACCATCACTGACTAAGGTCTGTGAATAAGTAGACAAAGTATAAAACGAACTTCTGGTCAGAATATTGGCGAGTGTTTTGAACCTTTGTATAGATTGTATAATAACTTGCAAAATGGCTGCCTCAATGTTGCAGACTGAATGTTATCATTCCATAGGTGCAAATCTGTATCATTGACTTTTTTTTCGGCTTATCAGTCTTTTTGAACTTATTTAAAGCCGAAATATATACTTGGATTGTTTTTTTAGATAATAATCAAGCAAGTATTGTTATTTAACACATAGCTTGGAGGAGAAGACGTGGATTTATACCTTTCCTAATTTAATTTGCTCATAAGTGAATATAACGAACCCGATTGAAATTCGAACTCGACTCTCCGATTTCACATTCGCTGCCTTTATACATTACACCACTCGCCCATCCAAGTTTACAGCACCTGATACTCCCGAGCGATAACCCATCTGGGTACAAACCAGATTCAACGTTGCTTAACTCCAGTGAATGGACGAGAGCCTGTGTTTCAATATGATATGGCCGTAATTTTGTATCATTAATTACGAGGTTCTTTAGAGATTAACAATCGTGTACTTCAAATTAATAAATTTATTAAAATAATGAAATGTTTGTGGGTGTAAATAGTAAAGAGTCATTAGAAAAGCACATGTCTTCTCTTAGGAATTATTCAACCATTTGAACTATATGATCAATCCTCAGTGAACTAGATGTCCTGCCAGGATTTATTATTGGCGGACACAACACCATAAGAAATGCAGATGGCACATGTTTGATAACAGACTAAGAACGGAAACTACAGAAATTCCTACCGAAGGTAATAAAGGACTAAACATCAGTTGTAAGAAGACAGGTGATATGGTTGCCAGTTAGAGGAGAATCCGAAGATGCGAAGTACGAATTCAAGAAACCAAAATCAAGAAAAGAAGTATTCTCAGAAAAGATGGAAAATTCGGTACGAAAATCAGAAAGCAAGGTGGAATAGCGAAAGATGCCTTCCAGAAGCTAAGCAAATTATTGAGAAACCGAAGCGAAATACAAAGTGGAGATACCAAAATCAAGGAAGTACAAAAACTTAAATATCTGTGATGTGTCTTATAAATGGGATACCGAAATGCGAAAGCGTATTTACTATTTTAAGTGAAAGATGCCTTGCAAAAGTTAAGCACTGTATTAAGAAATAGGAAAGTCCGTAAGGAGCAAAGAAAGGAGTGCTATAAACTGTTATATAATATCAGCCCAGCTATATCGCAGTAAATACTGAATAATTTCCGCACAAATAAGAGACTTGAGGCAACAGAAATAATGATTGTACAGACGAATGTTGCTGAAGATGTGAGTAACGAACAAGTTTTAAGAGAAATGAAAACAAAAAAGAAGCTTATATATAGAATCAGAAAGGGACAATTGAAATTTCTAAGACACATAGTGAAAAAAGGGGGCTTACAAAATTTAATACTCACAGGACAGATTGAAGACAATATGGACGGAGGGTAACAGCCAGTCTCTACTTAACGAGCTTTGTGTAGGTGATTGGCACGATAGGAAATAGGAATGATGGTTAAAAGACAAATGATAGTAAGCGCTACAAAGGATAGGAAATTGTGGAAAGCATTTACCTTTCATGTATTGAAGGAACACAGCACAGAAGAATTATTCTTGACAACATGTCAAAGTGGAATCTTAGTATATTGCGTTCACTTTTACATAAATATCCTTGGGGAAATCCTTAAATCAATTTCTACCATACCCACTACACCCCCGCCAACAGGTATGAGTTAAATATCGGAACAGGCTGCCAGCTCAGGTGAAAAATAACTCTGAATATAAAACTATGAAATAAAAAAAGCATCACGGAGACACGGTAGAGTAATGGATAGCGGCTCGGATTGAGGAATTGGAGAGCCGAGTTCGAATTCTAGTCGAATTCATTACATTCAATTACGTGGGAAAAATATGAATCCTCTTCTTCTCCCCCAGCTATGGATAAATAGCAACTGGTCTACCGCAAAAAGAAATGGTAACCTACTCCGTGAACGTATCAAAAGATACATGATCGCCTAAGAGTGTATCACGGATGGCACATATTGACTGAATCTTCACAGTGTTCCATTTCAATTCGGCCATTGCTGATTTCACTTCAGATATTTATATTTCTCGATCCTTCGATATTTCTGTGTATTGTCGCTTATCCTTTTTCGTTGTGGAAGAGTTCTCCTCTGTATTCGTTCCATCTCTGAAGTATTTTCTTATTCTCATATCAATGTCCATCCTTGGATGTTATGCATCCTATTGATGCGCATGTCTTTTGTCCATTCAGTTCTCATATTTATAATTCGTATCTTTTTTCTCTGAGATATTCATTCTTTCTATTTCAGCACACTTTTTGCCGAGACATTCCTTTTTAACCCGTCTGCATTTGTTCCTCATTCCTTTATACAGTGTCCTATATTCTATGTTGTACTATGGCATTATTCTTATCTCCTTTTCATCATGTCGTAAAATTCCATCTGTCTCTCATTTTATTTTTTTTTTTTTTTTTTTGCATGGTTTTCTTTGGGATGATCTTCATTGCTGATATTGCTAACGCTTCTTTTAATATATTCCACATCGTATTTCCAGTATCATTTTATCCATTATATCTGCCGGTTGTCCATATATTTCTTCTTCACGTTCGTATCATTCAGGAGTTTGTCGCATTGCATTTTGGGTTCTGCCATGGCCATCTTCAATTTCCGTTATTTCACTCTAAGCTTACTTTGCATATCAATGAAAGATGGACGCTCCCGTAGATGGTACTTGGACATGTTTTATGGTGTAAATCAGAATTTTTTAATCATTTATTGATAGTTATATAATTGATTAGTTTGTTTTTTTTTTTTTTGTTTGTTTGTTTGTTTGTTTTCATTTGGGCTTCTCCATGTCTATATACGTCTTGGGAGTACGTGAAACCATGTGTTGGCTACTGCCTGATCATTGGCCGTGCATCATTGGACCCATTTTCTTCGTGTTCATTACGAGTTCCTAGTCAGATTTTAACAACTATTCCACCGTCTCTCTCCTTCCCTATTTGGCATTCAGATCTCTCAAGACTTTTGCAATTTCTTGCGATTTGTATTCAGCCTTCCCTTTGTCTAACACGAATACAACTTTCATTATCTTTGTGCTGTCATTATGTATAAAACTATGATGGATATTTTGAAAGGCTTTCCTTTCAGTTTAACAAGAATTCTTTCAGATAGTTGATAGTATCCCATGTCATTTCTAATATAAATCCTACTTTACTCATATTTTCCTCTCCGCTTGTATATATGAACCTGTGTTTGTCACTGACGAAATCTGCATTGTTTTCCCACCTCGTTTCACATACACCTAAAATATTAACATTTCACTTATTCATTTCCTGCTTTATATTTTTCTAATTGGCCATATTGATTTAGTCTTTTGATATTTCATGACACGAGAATTATTCTTTAAACCTATCTGAAGCTACAGTACTTATCAGGATTGAGAAATATTGATTCTGGATCGATTTAAGAGACCCTATCCATAATATCGATACAGTGTCAAATCGATTCCAGCTATCAGAATTTGACTGTTTATAAATTTCAAATGTTAAGCTGTGTCATTGATATCTGCGTAGGAGTATGGAGGTTTTTCATTTTGCAAAAGATTTCTTTTAAATAAAGAAAAACCGGACATATGTGCATTTTTATGTTTTACTTTAGGAAAACATTTTAAACAAGCAATAGCAATTCCTTGGTGGAATAGAATTTTGTTTTTACAAAAAAGCTTTATTGTCGTTAACGAACAAACAGATACGTTTTAGGTTAATTAACAAATGGGTACATTTTTTTAAAGAAGATGCAACTATTCTCAGGTGTAACTATCTTTTCATTTTCTTTATATTTTTTATAAAACAGATTCCTCTTAATTAAAGAACAAATGGATACATAGCTTTTTAATCAACGAACACAAAAAATGACATAAATAAACAAAGGTAAAAAAATATGCAGATATCAATGAGATTTTCAAGCCACAGTAATTGTAAAAGAACAGCTAGGTTCCGATAACTCTGAAAAAGTTAGGAATCGATTTGGCACTTTATCGATATGATGAACAGGATCCCCATTTCTAAAATGATTAAAAAAATAATTTTTTGATTATGACAAATCAGGAAGATCTAATAAATGTTAATCTACAAAAATTATATAAAAAAAAATTATCTACTTTTTACGAGTCTTTTTAAATACAGTTCGACCTCTTTAATTTGGCACTCTTGGAACCAAGCATTTGTCGGACCAGAAGAAATGCTGACTGTCAGAAATCACTCCTAAAAATACCTATATAATCATAGTCTTACCAGATCATTCCACACACACACACACACACATACACACACACACACACACACACACACATATATATATATATATATATATATATATATATATAGCGTGTCCCCCACAAAGTAAATTAAAACCATTCTGTAGTCTAATAACCTGGTCAGTTTTCACTCAAATGATCTGAAATTTTAATAAAATGTGTATAAAGTAAGTAATTTGACTGTGCGGACTTATCTCAATGCGAATCTACCAGGAAGATGGATTTGATCTGCCAGTGATAATTATAATATGCTGTTGAAATGGCCAATACGTTTACCTGACTTGACATCTTGTGATTTTTTTTTTCTATAGGACTATGTGAAAGGACAGATCTATGAACCCCACCCTTCCTAGAAACCGAGAGAAACTTAAACAGAGAATTCCAGAAGCGCTGGAGAATGTTATGCAAGACATGCTACAGCGTGTTTAACAGCAGCTGGACTACCGACTTGACGTGTACCTTGTCAAAGGTGGTGCACATGTTAAACATTTGTGAAGCTTTGTGAAATCGAACTTGTGAGCTACGAACTGGGGACGTCAATATCAAAAGCAGATACAGAAATTTAAATGTCTAGAGAGCGTCGTAATAGTCGAAGGAAAATGTGACACAAGGAAAACCGAAAGCGAATGGAAAATAGCAGAAGTTGTTTTCAAGAAACTAAACAATGTATTAAGAAACAAGAAAATTTCGTTACAAATAACGAAAAGACTGAACTACTATGTAATATCAATCATCTTATATGAAAGTAAATGCAAAACAATTTCTTTTCAGATGAATTAAAGACTCGAAATGATGGCGATATGGTTATCCAGAAAGATATTGAAAATAGCGCTAACAAAAACTGTGGACGAAAATGAAAGTTCTAAAGAAAATGGAAAAGAAAATCAGAAAGAGACAGACATTTCTCGGACAGATTATAAGAAAAATAAGAAATTATGACACATTATGAGAAAACACATTATGAGAAAATATACAGCTCGTCTCCTTTATTCTATGTTATATAATCTTCGAGTCCCTATCTGTGTTTTATGCATTCTTCGAGTCATTACCATTATTTTAGGTACTTTTATTTTATATTCTTTACCAGTTCCTTAATTTGTCACACATTCTCTCCGGGTCCATTACTCTTCAAGTCCCGTCTTCTAACATATACGCCTCGAGTCCTTTCCTCTGTCATGTACGCAAAACTCTCTCTCTCTCTCTCCATCTCTCTCTCTCTCCATCTCTCTCTCTCTCTCTCTCTCTCTCTCTCTCTGTCATATATACATTGATTCCTTTCCTCTATCATGTACGCTAAACTCCCTCTCTCTGTCATATTTCCATTGATTCATTTCCTCTGTCATGTACTCTAAACTCCCTCTCTCTGTCATATTTCCATTGATTCATTTCCTCTATCATGTACCCTAAACTCTCTCTCTCTGTCATATATCCATTGATTTCTTTCCTCTGTCATGTACTCTAAACTCTCTCTCTGTCATATAGCCATTGATTCCTTTCCTCTGCCATGTACTCTAAACGCCCCCTCTCTGTCATATATCCATTGATTCATTTCCTCTGTCTTGTTCTCTAAAGTTTCTCTCTCTATCATGTATCTATAGATTCCTTTCTTGTCATGTACTCTAAAGACCCTCTCTCTGTCACATCCATAGATTCTTTTCCTCTGTCATATACTGTAAAGTCCCTCTCTATGTCATGCATTCATTGATTCCTTCCTCTGTTATGTGCTCTACCATTTCCTTCCTCTCTTTCATGTACTCTCCGAGATTTTTGCTTTTTCTCTTGTGTACTCTTCCAGTCCCTTTTTCTGTCATGTTCTTTCCGAGTCCCTTCTCCTGTCATATACTCTTCGAATCTCTCCTCACTTATGTACTCTTCTGGGTCCTTCTTCTGTCCTGTAAGCTTCGAAGCCCTTTCTGTGTCTTATGTATCCTTAGAATCCCTACCTCTGTTTTACGTACTCTTCGAGTTCTTTCATCTCTTTCATGTACTCTTCAAATCGCTTCTTCTGCCATGTTTATCGTCCGTTTAATACTCCTCCGCAATTTTCTGACAGGAGGAGAGGCTTATTCTTTGTTTCCTGTTTGGGATTGTGTTTCCGATCTTTCTAATCTTTTCATTCTCTTTTGCGACGTCGTAACATAATTGGCTTACTTAAGGTGAATCGATGAAAAAATTCTCTAGTTTTCGAGTCACTTCCCCTGTATTATATGCTTTCCATGTCCCTTCATCAGCCATGTGCACTTCGAATCTCTCACTCTGCTATATAATCTCCGAGTCACTTTGTCAAGTAGTCTTCGAGTCCCTTTCCCCTGCCATGTACACTTGAATCCCTTTCTCTGTCATATAGTCTTCATGTCTTTCCCCTGCCATGTACACTTCGAGTCACTTTTTCTGTCATATACCCCCATGTCCCATCCCCTGCCATGTATAAGTTGAGTCCTTTGTCTATCATATACTCCCCAAAACCATTCCTCTACCATGTACACTTCGAGTCTCTTCCACTATCATGCACTCTTTCAGACCCTTCCTCTTCCATATATACTGCAAGTGCCTTCCTCTGTCATGTACTGTCCGAGTACCTTCCTCTGTCATGTACTCTTTTAGTCCCTGCCATGTGCACTGCAAGTGCCATTCTCTGTCATGTCCACTTTCAGTCCCTTCCACTGTCATGTACTGCCCAACTGCTTTTCTCTGTCATGTACTCTTTCAGTCCTTTCTTCTGCCATGTACTCTTTCAGTCCCTACCATGTACACTCCAAATGCCTTCCTCTGTCATGTACTGTCCAAATGCCTTCCTGTGTCACGTACTCTTTCAGTTCCGGCCCTTTACACTCCAAGTGCCTTCCTCTGTCATGTACTTCCCAAATGCCTTCTTCTGTCATGTACTCTTTTAGTCCCTTACTCTGCTATGTACTGCCCAAGTGCCTTCCTCCGTCAAGTAATCTTTATGTCTCTTCCTCTGTCATATACTCTTTCAGTCCCTGCCATGTGCACTCCAAATGCCATTCTCTGTCATGTACTACCCAAATGCCTTCCGCTGTCATGTACTGCAAAAGTGCCTTCCTCCGTCAAGTAATCTTTATGTCTCTTCCTCTGTCATATACTCTTTCAGTCCCTGCCCTGTACACTCCAAGTGCCTTATTCTGTCATGTACTCTTTCAGTCCTTGCCCTGTACACTCCAAGTGCCTTCCTCTGTCATGTACTCTTTCAGTCCCTGCCCTGTACACTCCAAGTGCCTTACTCTGTCATGTACTCTTTCAGTCCTTGCCCTGTACATTCCAAGTGCCTTCCTCTGTCATGTACTCTTTCAGTCCCTGTCCTGTACACTCCAAGTGCCTTCCTCTGTCATGTACTCTTTCAATCCTTGCCCTGTAGATTTCAAGTTCCTTCCTCTGTCATGTACTCTTTCAGTCCCTTCCTCTGCTATGTACTGCCCAAGTGCCTTCCTCCGTCAAGTACTGTTTCAGTTCCTTCCTCTGCCATGTAAAGTCTAAGTGCCTTGTACTTTTTCAGTGCTTTGATCGTGGAGTCAACGCAATCCTCGATTTCGGACCAGTTCTCTTCCGCCTTATTTTTTTTCTTTTTCTTTCAACATACAGCCTGTCGATATTGACTGTGGAGACGAAGGCTTCATGCATTTATCATCATCATAATCATTATTAGTAGTAGTAATAGTAGTATAAGTAGTATTATCCTTTTCCCTCCTTCATCTTATTGTCTTCTCCTCCCTTTACTGTACTCCTCTTTCTTATGAATCTCTCCTCTTTCATCCTTTTGTCTCTTCCACACATTGCCTTATCCTTCCCTTTTATTTTAATCATATCTCTTTTCTCTCCTTCCTCTCTTTCCTTCATCTCTGGCTCTACGGATAACAAACCTTCTCTCCTTCCTCCCCTCTTGCTATAACTTATTGTTTACTTGTCACATTGCCTTCCGTTCGAAACAAAAGAAAAACGTGCATAGGTGGCATAAACATTGAATGTTATATATTTTCTGTTTACCCAAAAAATCCTGCGTGTATTTTCCGCGACTTTACATCTCTTTTCACCCAGCCCCTGCATTTTCGCTCCCTACCACTAACCCTTGCCTATCACTCATTACTCGTAAGGCCCCCTATCTATCTACCTATTCATAACGTCTCTTTACATTTTCCTTTTGACTCACGCTATTTCGTGACGATGACCTGTCCAGGTGTAGAGGACCAACAGCGACAAATAAAGTCTTTTCTGTATCGGACTGTGGACACGGAGTTTTTTTTCCCACGACCCGGCCTGAATTGAAACTGGTCAAAATTTCCTTTGAAGAATGGTGTGTGCCCAGCGGTCGTATGAAACGAGGGAAGGAAGAACTGAGACGTGAAAAAGAGCAGGAAAGCAAAAAGAGGAAGAAAGTTTTGGGTTTTTTTTCTTTATTCTTACAGGTAGAGCGGAAAGAAGATGAAATGGACGGAAGAGAGTGTTTAAAGAAAAAATAAATAGAAAGGTGAAAAACTGAAGACAGAATGGATAATGAAGGAAATGGTGGTAAAAACAGAGCTGCTGTGAGTAATTTAATAAAAAACGAGTTGTAAAACGAACAGAGAAACGGGCTACGAGATTAGCAAAAAGGAATAAAAAATAATATCTGGGAACAACATTTAATCAGATACTGCCTGCCTAGATGGGATTAACCGATCTGAATATATTTCTAACTGGGCCCTGCCTACAAGGTTATGTGCTGATTTTATCAAAACCTCTCATCATATCGCGCCCATTTGGCTGTGAGGCATGTGCATGGTATACACTTACCACACTGGATGTCCTGATGGGTATATTGGGCTTCGTATATTTATATTCCAGCGTCACTTTATTGGCATGCTACTCTCTCACGCACTAACAACTACAACGACAATAATAATAATAATAATAATAATAATAATAATAATGATAATCTGCAGATTGTAATGTATCAAAATACAAGGATCTTGAATTGGAAATCTCTAAAATGTGGCACATGAGTACGTCAATAATTCCAGTTGTAGTTGGATCCCTCGGGTTGATTGTCAAAGGTTCCGATAGACTCAATGAAGGCATTCCTTGTAGCCCATGCCTTAAAGAAAAACAAAAAACACATTTTTGAAGGGCTTTATCTATACAAAACGTGTGTGATCATGGATTTTTTTCTGAAGAAATAGTCAGTGAAAATGTTATTAAGACATTTCTTACCTTAGATCTCTGGTTGAGACCCGGAGGGAAATGTGTACACAACGGAAATCAAAGGAATTAATAATAATAATAATAATAATAATAATAATAATAATAATAATAAAGCCCTAAAATATATGAATTGCAAAAAAATGAAAACCGCGGCTACTTCTCACATCTTACGGGAATGTCTCTTCATAGAGGGATCACAATTGCATTTTTCTCTTTCACTGCATGTTACTTCATCTGTTTGCCTTTTCTGATAAAAAAAATTGTTGTCTCTTGAAGTTTTTGTTTGAGATTTGGGGTCAAATCGTACTGCACAAAGTCAAAGGCAAAAAAAAACAGCAACAAGAATAATAGATTATCGAATTCAAGTCAGAAATCGACTTCACTGTAAAGACAGTAGAAGAAATTTCGTTGTTCAATCTGGTCAAAGAAAGTAAAAAGATAACCCGAATAGTTTTCCCGATTCACAACCATACGTGTCTTTTGCAAAAGCTATTTGGGTTCGTTCCCTGCGTGCAGGTAACGACTGTCACATTTTTCCAATAGCGTTGTTGTTCCCCTGAAAGGTTGAAATCAATTTCATTCTTATTTCCTCTGTAGACTAGCACAACAGTGAAATCCACTATTTTCACGAAGATTATTTTCTTTTTCCTTACAAGTAAAATGATAATGTTTTGTAGCTGAGATTAGATGACACGGTTGACTCTCAAAAACGCAAAAGATTTTAGGCTTCATTCTCTTGGATAAATTCTGGATTATTATTAGTATTAGTAGTAGTAGTAGTATAAGTAGTATGAAAACAATCCAAGAGTTACAGAAATATTCAGTAGTATTAGTATTATTATTAGCAGTATCTATATTCTTGAGCTAATGGTTGAATTTGAAGATCAAGTTTACTCAAATTTACAAAATTTCATTCATTATTCGATCTGGGCGTTGTCATATGGATGTTTTACATTCTTTGAACATCTTTGCAACTAACTTCTTGACTGATCCTTGTGTGTCAATAAGGATGGATTCAACCCTCAGTTGTTTTTTTGTTTTTTTTTTTCAATTTTCTAGCGAAGGCGAGATATTTTTCAAACTTTTCCATCTCTTTCAGTTTTGTTTTTTTTTATTGTTTTCTATTTGTAATCAGGCTATGAAAAATTGAACTCCACTTTAGAAGAAAATGGAAAGGTAATCTATTTGGATTATATCGACCTTTTCTGAGAATCCCACGGTCGGAGTGAGTAAGCAACGAATGAAGTCTTAAGGAAAATGGAAAAAAAAAACTATAATCAGAATGAAAAAGAGAAAGTTAAACTTTCACACAGACACACACACACAGACACACACACACACACACACAAACAATGAAGAACTTAAATAGGAACTTAAAAATATTTAAATTTATAAATATTTAAATTTATTATAATTTAAAATATGAACTTAACTGATAAATTGGCACTTCGCTAAGTATTATAAAATATATTTTTTTCTCCTAGATTCATTTCTGAATAATTTTGTAATTATCATAATATTGATGTTCGGTTAAATTTAGAATTGGATATTTTTAATTTTAAATTCAGCTGTGAAATTGAAACTTTATTTGATATATTGATTTCTAATCTAATCTTAACTTTAATGCACTCATAAATCGTACCTAGGGTCTATTGTCATGCTATTTTGAATTACCATATACTTGTATTCTGACTGGTCATCATAGGTCAGGTAACAATATTTCCCCTACTGAGGGGGGTTGGTTTGTTTTTGAGCACTTAAAACCATTTATTTTGCAATCAGCACCATCACTTGATAAGACACCAGTAGTGTTGAAACAAAATTGCAATTTTTGTAGTGATGCACATGCATATGTTATAATTTTGAATATATATATATATATATATATATATATATATATAATTATTTATTCAAAATATGATTCAACTCGCGACATAAGAGGGTCTCATGTTTCAAAACAAAAAACTTCAATATAATTATTTGAATTAAAAAAAGCTCTGTTCCATCTTCAAGCGAAATTATTCCAAAAAAAATTTCGCTTGAAGATGGAACAGAGATTACTTTAACTCAATTTAATTCAAATAATTATATTGAAGTTTTCAACTCTTGTTTTGAAACATGAGACCTCTTATGTCGCGAGTTGAATCCTATTTTAAATAAATAATTATATTTATACTCTACTATTGTATCGAGCACTATTTTTAAAAAAAAAATAATAACTAAAATACTAAGGAACTTTGGATTATTTACCTAACCAGTTCTTTCCTATTTTCTATATATTTTCACACACACACACACACACACACACACACACACACACATACATATATATATATATATATATATATATATATATATATATATATATATATGAAGAAATATAGTTTTAAGGAGTGCTATATTTATGGGATAAAGTGCTCAATATCAGAAATAGAGCGTATGTAATATAAATATAAAAGTGAACATCGAAGTCAACATTCAGAGGTGACTGGCTGTTTCATGCTAGACGCAATTCGCGGCCTGACGATTGCGTCCAGCATGAAACAGCATATCGCCTCACAGTGTTGACTTCAATGTTCACTTTTTTTACTCTGTGGATAGCTTCTTAATTATTTTTTAAGCTCTGTTAATTACTGCTTAGGTGGATGTTTACATTTGGTCTTTCCTTGAATTTTAGTTTAAATTAATCTGTTGGTCACACCAGGATACTGCATATATATATATATATATATATATATATATATATAACCATAAATAATACTCATTTCCCTCTAAGCAAGTAATAAAGTCACTAAAACGGAAGTTGTTATTGGGTTTGAAAGAATATGAGAAGAATATGAAAGAACATGTTTCAATGAAACAGATGATGTTGATTGACGTTAGCGAGATGAAGGACGACAGTTCCACGAGCTAGAAGTGCGAGAGAAGAAACTGAGAACATAGAACTTACAGTTACATTTAGGCATTCAAATTGTAAAATGATGAGACCTAGCTGCCAATCTAGTACTGCGTTTAAATTCATAAAGTCTAGGTACCAAAGAGGAAAGCTCATCAGAACAATTACCATGAAAATATTTATAGAAACGGCAATGAGGTGCTAAGTTACGGAAGTGTAAAAACATATCTCATAACTTATGACTTTCATCATGTTCGAACATGCCCCTCCTAATTTCAGTGATGCCTTTCGTGGCCGTGTGGCTTAACCCTCGTTGATTGGAAAATAGTTTCCCCAATATAAGGGGCCTTATGTTTCAATTCACCTGAAAGTCTCATTTTGTACACACACACACAAACACGCACACACACATATATATATATATATATATATATATATATATATATATATATATAGTAAAAAGAAAGAACAGTAAGATATATAATCCGGTGTTGATATTTTTATTTTTACAAAACAGTGCCCAATGTAAATTTACAGAGCATAAATATTATAAATTAACTGATTTAAAATATGTCTTCTTCGCTACACGGGAATTACCATGTTTCAAAATTAAATGTTTATATAATTAAATTTGAAGTTTTAGCTTCGGTTTTTGAAATATGGTAATTCCTGTGTAGCGAAGGAACCATATTTTCAATCAGTTAATTTATAATATATATATGTATGTATGTATATATGTGTGTATGTGTGCGTGTTTGTGTGTGGCTGTGTGTGAGAGAGAGAGTGAGAGAGAGATAAAATATTTGAACGGAAAAATCAAAGTAATTTATTAAGGCGAAATTATATTGAAAGTACACTAATTTCGGAATCTTCTTAATACGTTCCCATTTCTGACAAAACTAATGGCGGATATTTAAAAACAAAAGCGGTAGAAAAGTAAATGGGGTCGTTAAGGTCATGCGTCTCAAGTCAGCGGCTGCCAAAAATTAAAAAAGTTGCCCCTAAATGTCATTATATCTTTAGCATTTTCATTATAAAATTACAAGCGGCTTTCCGTATATTAATCATCAACTATATATATATATATATATATATATATATATATAAGAAGAAATATTCTCTTAAGGTGTGCTAAATTTATAGGATAAAGTGCTCAATATCAGCGTGCGTAAATATAAAAGTGAACATTGAAGTCAACACTTAGAGGCGACAGGCTGTTTCATGCTAGATGCAATCGTCAGGCCTGACGGTTGCGTCTATCATGAAAAAAACAGCCTGTCGCCCTAAGTGTTGACTTCAATGTTCACTTTTATATTTATATATATATAGGCCAAATTACCTTTACCTTGCCGCGTGTCACACATACATGTTTTTTGTAAGAAAATGATGATTGAATCATTTTTATAATTTGTGGAGAAAAATGATTCATTTCAATATTACTCAATGATCTTGCCGATATGACCTCCATCTTCTGGCTTTCTCCTTCTATATTTTGAA